ATATTTTTAACAGAGTAAAAATTAGTCAACATTAAATTGATCGTTTTACATTAAATATTAATGAGGTATCCGTCCAATAAATTTAATGTGAATTTCTAAAAGATGTTTTCAGTAAATTTACATGATATTTCTTGAAAAAATTTTTTACAGTATAAATACAATACAATCTATTCGAATATGCAACAGGTTTATCTAATACTATCTTTCATACAAACAAAAAATAGGAGGTTTCTACAGATCTTATAAATCTTATTTTAAATGATTTTTCCATTAGGTTACTTGTTAAATTCCAAATTTTTAAGATGAAACATGTGAAAAGGGTACAGTTAAATGATCTGCTATTTTATAAGAGTATTCCTTATTTTCTTAGAAAATTTTTTTGAAACCATCGAAAGATTCAATGAAAGTGCACAGGCAATATCGTTTCATAGAAGGTATGTTTATATTTTTAATATATTATCAGCCATATAATTTAATAGAAGTATAACTTCTAACTTGACTACCCAAGCACCCACTGTCCACTGGTTTTTATTCTAAAGGTAGTAGAAATTTTTAAATTCAGTAAACAGTTCAAAGGTACAAAGTCTATTATTTGTTTGGAAAATGACAAACTACAATCAAACATCGTGAAACTTTCATTTATTTTAAATTTGAAATGAATCACTGGCATAAACATGAAAAGTTAAGAGAATATGCTTTTAGCTTGTTACTGATCAGAAAAAATTTTGTTAAAAAAAATGTTTTTCAACAAATAGTTCTATTTTTAATTAAATGTTCATGAATGTTAGTTTAAGTTTTTTTTGGCTAAATAAGCTTATTTCGCAGACATTTATTATTGTAACCTTATATTTTGTAATCTTGTATTAAGTGTATGCATTATGATTATTATTCAATATCCCCTAAAATGCCCTCCAAGGAATGTGTAATTGTTGGAATAAATTTTTCTTGAAATTTAAAAAAAATGTATGATCTTATCTTCATATAATTATTACAGATTTTTAATGGTCATTTTGTGAAAATAGAAGAAATTAAAAAGATTCCTAACACAATTGGAAGCCAAAGTAATTGACGTTTAAATAATTTGCCATTTAATAAATAATAACAACTAGCTCCCCAAATTTGACAGTAGATACTCAACTACGTATACTTTGTTATTTCGTATTAAGAAAAAGTGAAAATAGCCCTTCTACTTAGTAAACAATTATTTATCACTTATACTAATTGCAAGCTAGAGTAAAGGGTGTTATTTCTCGTCCATGCAAAACAGTGCTTGAACGCTCGATCGAGCTACTTTAAATGGAAAATGGAGAAAGAAGTAACTGTATCTTGGTAAAATCAAGTGTGATTTTAACTTTTTTTTGTTGAACGAACTGTTAAAACAAGTTCTTATTTGTAAATAATTTTGCAATTATTAAAGAAAAGTTATTCTTTTCTTAAATCTCTCGGTATAAGCACAGTCTTAGTAACATGCATTTCACATTACAAATTATAAATTTGTAACAAATACTTCCCATGAATGAAAGTAATGATGGATAAAATTAGTTTTTTTAGAGGGCTTGCTAAGAACGTCAACATACGCAAGTGCATAAGCAGACATATTGTTTCTTGTATTTATAATGATAATCGCACTTTTTATTTATAACGTCAAATAAAGAATGTCTAAGACTATTATCTTCAGTGTAGTCAGTACGAAATGTATTAGACAATGAAATTTTAACGTAATTGTACTTTTCAGGATTAACCGTGACATACAAAACATAGTTCGTAAAACATAAGATCTATTATACAACATTCCGATTGATTGTTATTGCAGTTTTTGTTGCACAAATATGAAATTTTATTTTAACGTTTGTAAGATAAAGCAGTTTTTTGCACGGGCTCTACTATTACAAACTCGCCAAGCAAGAGTCATAATTTGTTACATGATTATCGTTCTTATAAGGAAGCAAAATCAATTAAAAAATTCTTCTTCTGAATGTGAAAATAATTATATGTTCATAACGATTTGTTCAAGCAATTTATTGATTTAACCACGCCAGTCGATATTACATGCGTGTGCTATCTGAGACAAATAAAAACATAAGGGAAAACGTGTAAACTCATTAAGTTATAAAGAAAAAGAATCATTTTTATTCATTTTAAATTCCAATTAGTTGTTATGAATCAAAAATCGGAGAATCCTTTAAACAAAACGATCTTGACTTTTACTGATGCTAGGACACTTTTGTTTTTTAATTTTTATAAAATAACTACCAACGAATCTGTTAAGATTCCATGAAGATACTATCATAATTTTTTTGTAATATTTTAAAAGGATATGTCTTATATTTGTACATTTTTTGAATAACAGCTTTGGAGGGTTTAATAATCATAATGCATTCATCTTATATAAAGTTATGAAATATACAAAACCAAGACAAAATGTATATAAAATAACTGATCAAGCCACTGGACACTTTCATCAAAATCAGCAAACATAATGGCCAATTTTAATAAACAAAAAAATTTTTAAACAACACAATTTTTTCAATGAAAGGTTTTTTGTGTGATACGAAGCATAAATCATATTCTCTTAAATATTAACATGGTGGGAAAAAATCATAAAAAACTCTGGTTTTAATATTTTTTCTGCATTTAAACAAGAATTAGACAATGTTTCAAGTATCAAAAAGTTGAGTAACCTTAAAATTATTGTTTTGAGATGTTAATTAACACCTATAACCATATAAAAAATTGTATGTTATTACGTGTGTACTTCTGCTGATTTCCCTGGCCTACTATCTATAGTATGCCTTAGACTGGTATATTCTACAGATTTCAAAAGACTTTTAGAAAAAATTTATAATTACAACGTAAATAGTTTTAAGATCATCTAAGATAGCTATGTTTATAAGTGTAGTTACTTAAACAGAATTTAATCAATTCATACTAAATTGATAAATAAGTATGGATTTAAGCACTCATCATTATTACAGTGACAACGTAGTGTACAGATATATTACTACAGAAGCACATAAAAAATCAAGAACTTTTACCACCAAGTCGTATTGCAATGCGATATTATCGACTCTGGATCTACGTATGTAATGCAGTTATATTTTTAAGTGCAATTAGTTTTGCTGCAGTAATTTCTCACACAATAATTTTTGCAAGTGATCGTCGACGCTATCTTGTCCCAGGACTACCGCATGCTTTTGATCCAACATCTATCTACGTATACTTTGCACTCATCATACAGTTTGGAGTTGTCCAGTTATTAGGTTACATTGCAGCAAGACAGCTGAATTCTAAGCTTCTCCATATTTATTGGTTACTAATACTTGGTCTTCTTTTTGGTGATGTAGTTATTGGTGTAGTATGGATGTTAAGATTTGAAAAAATGAGGGCTGATCTTAAGCCAATTCTTCGCCTGAGATTACAGGTAATAAAAATTTTCCATACTATCGTCTAACTTCTTAACATTATATGTAGATAACAATCCAGTTAGATTCATTGTATGCTTATGACTTGTTTATACCTGGAAAAAAAATTTTTCAACAAATAAGCTTGTTTTGTATGTAACTTCTTAATAAAACTTTAGATAAATTTTCAATGAAAATAGAAATATTTAGCTGTGATGGCTTTTTCCTCTACAGGCAATGGGAAGCCAGAAACACTTTTTTAAAATTCACTAAGCTTTACAAGTAATTTACTGTATATACTTTGCTAATAATATTATTCTTCATAAAAGTTATTTTTACTAAAGATTTTTACACATAATGGTTTAGACTTATATGAAAAATGTAACCTATAATAGTACCAACTTAATTATTCAATGTAACCAAATTTACAGTATTTTTCGGGCTTCTTACTCTCTCATTACTTTAACTAATAATTTACTTATGTATATATTTAGAATTTGAGATTGATTCGTACAATAAAAAGTAATTTCAATGCCTGACAATAATTCAGATATTTAAGTGATTGCCAAAGTTAAACAAGCACATATTATTGTACTAAGTATAATACCAATTGACAGAAATAAATGAAGATACCCAACAGGTACTTTCGATCAAGAACTGTTAGATCCATTCTTGTCCTTTTTGATAGTTAATATTCTTAAAATGGGAAATGAAGATTTAGTTATCTTCTATTTACAAGAAACATTACAAAATAATTGAGAACAAAATAGCTGACTTACCAATAAAGCTACCAAGAAGTTATTCTTTCACTTGCACTATAGGTGCAGATAGACTCTTATTTCTTCTTATTAACTATTTTTTACATAAAACTTCATTTGAATACGTAGAACAAAAAATTATCCTGAAGTTTGTTGATAAGTTAGATATTAATTTTGTTTTAAAAGGTATTTGCTGTGACGACAAAAAACAGCAGCGCTCTAGTGAATTTCGTCCAAGGCCTGAACAAATCGTTAGCCAATTGTTGTGCTGTGATACATACGGACACGGCGACATAAATGTTCATTGCAATTAATTGAGATCTCGAAGTACTCTGCACTCTCAACAGATAAGGGTTTGCGTAATGAGTTATCCATAAAAACTTTTGATGTGAAACATCTATTGACGCGCTTGGGGGTTCGACCCACGCGATCAAGCGATCCGTGCGATGGCACGATCTCCGGTTTAACTCAGCTTGGCTCGACTTGGCTCGGATGTCTGTCTTTCTCCACGCGCTTACTACCACCTCTCTCTCGTTTGTAACGTTTTTACTACCTGAATATATATAGCTATGTAGAAGAGTATATAATAAGTAAACTTTATATATGTAGGCATAGCATATACATACGTACACACATATATTATATATTATATATGTGTAAGAAAATTTTTCAAGTTTGACGGATTCCGAAAATTGAACCTTAATCGTAGGGATTTGTAGTCAAAGACCTTCTTGATTGTGCTAAACAGTATGCCAATCTGAATTTAACTTAACTTGGATAAGCTTATCCTTCAGCTTTTCTCTAAAAAATAAAGTTTTATTTTTACAATATTCAATGTCATATAAAAAGTTTCTACCTTGATTTCAAAAGAAAAAGTAACGACTATTTTCAAGTGGTCTAGTATTATCAAAATTATGTAAAATTGTGTTTCAAAGTTCGTTTTGCTTATATCTTTAAACGGTTTGATGTACAGAAAAAAATAAAAAACCAGCGTGTAGGGCGGAAAATCTTCTATCAATTAGCACTTTTCACTTTTTCATTTTGTTTTGACTAGTGCAAAATGTTTAGAAAAAAATGAAAAAGGCATTTCGACAGTACCTGCAAAAGTATCAGTAAGATAGAGAGAGCCATTGATCGTCTGCTGTCGCACTTGCTCTCTTTCTCTCTCTCTCTATCTATTGTACTCATACAGTTAGGCCTTATTCATGGCTTTTTTAAATATTTTGCGAACGTAGAATATGATGAATTAATATTAAAATAAGTAATACTTTTTCATTATTTAAGAAAAAATTATTCTCTGTGAACAGGATTATTTTAAAATATTAATATTTGACCATAGTGCAAAGTTTTCCCGGGGTTCATCTTGTACACAAGAGGCTGTGTTTAATCTGCTTTCAAGGAAGATGTTTTCATTTTTACTTACTACTTGGAAATCACTTGAAATATAGAAAAATGTGAATTTTTATTTTTAATCTTAAGAATATCAGTTCTTAAAAATGACATCGTCACAGCATTTAAATTTAATGAAAAATGTTACTGTACAGACATAGATATTTCAAAAAATTCCCAGGATTTCAATGTTTGCATTTATATCAAGTAACTTTATTCATCTTTTAGATTTTTCTCATTCTTACCTATATCCTTCAATAAATACATAGTTATGATTCGCTTCAACTCTGACACAAAGTTTCCCTGTACAGTTTTTTCTAACGTCAGCTAGTCTTTTGCAATCCTACATGGAGTCACGACAGTTTTTTTAATTTTCTACACGTGCACTTATAGGCAAAACAATATTTGTCTGATCTTACTAGTAAAACTTGACTTATTTAAAAACTTTAAGCAAGACATGAAAAAGTCTATACCATCTTGAAAAATAAGTACTTAATTTATAATTTATTTTAAAACCTCAGCTAAAATAGGAAATACTTATAATGTCATGCCATAGGTATAAAACAGAAATATTAAATAGTTGGTGGGCCCTCCAAAACTATAGTAAGAGAGGCATAAAGGTAATGTCTCAGATCAAAATAATAATAATAAAGAAAAAGAGCAAAACAAATGCCTTGTTGATATTTTTAAGTGACACGTACCGTTGAGAGACGAAAAGGAAATGAAGCACAAGCTTTGATGTAAGATAACAAAATAAAAATTCAAGCAAGCAGAACCTCTAGATAGAAATATTCTTTTAAATTAGGCTTTACAGTCTCATTTAGTAACTGTTTTTCGAAGATTATCCAAAAAAAGAAAAAAAAAAAAAAAAGGTCATCTAGAGCTGGTACCAGTAGTGAAATAAAATAAGCTTCGGAATTTGCATAAAGTTATAATTTGGAAGCCGATTTCATATCAGTTTTATGTAGTACGTTTCCCTATTTCGTTTTTTAGAACCCTTTTTATTTGGCAAAGCTAGTAACAAGAATAAGTGAAGATGTTGAGAAAAATTAGGATACAATTTCAGGTTACGAGATTTAGTAAAATCATACTTGATAAACTTGTTTTGATATGTATGAAACAGTATGCTGATTTCATGAGAGTGGATCAAAAAAAAAAAGAAAAAGCAAGTAGAGGTGAAATGTTTAAAGCAACAGTCAAAGGTATTTTCTTTTTCAAAAGCAAAGAGTATCTGATCTTCATTCTTACCTAAAGGAGGAAGGAATCTTAAGTTCTGCTGTAAGTTAAAAAAAAAAAAGTGACGTAAAATAGTCTGAACAGCAATTTAAATAAATCCACGTAACCTCCAGTATTAAAAAAAAGGATAATCTTGATCAAGAGAGTAAAACTCATGCTTAGAGGTGATAGTCACGACTGAAAGCAAGTTGTTTAAAACTAATGTCCCATAAAAACAGGGTCCTAGTTTTATAAATGCATTTCATGCTATACAAGACCTGGTTAAATAAAACCTTGCTCCTCAGGCTACAGGTATGATATCGTAGAGAAAAATAGTATTTTAGATGGCAAGAGGGGTTGAAGTCACAGCCATTGCGTTATTCAGATACAGACGTCTCAGAAAAAATTAATCATAAGTTATTAGGTACCCACAAGTAGACAGTTGCCCCCATGATTGTATAAGGTTGGTCCAGCATTAGGGTTGATACTATTTGAGTTATGAAACTCGCTCTACCGACTTTTTTAAAATCAATAGTGACTTTGTCCAAACAGCTGGCCCAGTTGGCTTACCCTCAAAAAAGAGATCCCTGCAGGTCCAGATATTACAAAAAAAATCACTATTTATTTTTAAAAATTAGATAAGTGGTGTTTCGGCATTCTTAATGCTTATGCCGTCGAAAAAGCTCAAGAAAAATATCTCGATAATTTTCGATGGGATTTAAACCCGCAATCCCTCGAGTCTCTCCAGCTAGAAAATTAGGACGCTAACCACAATTGAATTATAGATCTCTAACTATGTTACGTACTTGTCCTCTTCTTCAAGGTTATAATTACCTCTTACATACTCAGTGTTGGTTTTGGTGGTGTGTTTATAGCATTGACTAACATATTCTTTGATTCTTTTCTCCAGAACTGAGAGCATGTCTATGTCGGTGCGCAGCTCTAACTTAACTTGGATAAGCTTATCCTTCAGCTTTTCTCTAAAAAATAAAGTTTTATTTTTACAATATTCAATGTCATATAAAAAGTTTCTACCTTACTGATTACCTCACTTTGATAATTTTTTATTATTAATTATTTAGAAATTTATTCTTATGTGAAAAAACAATGAAATATAAGACGTTGCTAAAAATTTAGCTAAGGCTTCCTTTTTTGTCAAGCCTTCTCTCAAGAAGAGTTTAAATTTACTTTTAAAGGTTTTCACAGCGTTTTCCACCGCTATGTTACTGGTTGAAAGTACGGTGGCACCAAATGGTGGTCAATCCCGTTATCTTTGGTGAACAATTTGAATTCTTGGGAGATGAAGGCTGGGCCATTATCCGTAACTAAGCGCCCTGGTAAACCCCACGTAGCGAAGTACTCCCTGAGAGTAACTATGATAGATTTTGACGATATGTCCGGAACTGCCTTGCCGTCGACCCACTTGGAGTGTGCATCTTCTACAATAAGATACATAGCACCGTCAATGGGGCCCAAAAAATCGGCGTGTAGGCGAATCCCTGGGGCTTCGGGCCAGTCCCAGACATGCAGACTGGCTTCCGGAGGATTTCTTGCGAATTTTCAACATAATTCGCATTTCATGGCCAAATCCTTTATATCCGTGTATATTTTTGGCCACCAGATATATGACCTAGCCAGGGCCTTCATTTTTACCACCC